CAACTGGGAACAGTCGACTGTTCTAATTAGTCATTAATCTTCGCATTGAATCCCACTGCGTTGTACGTAAGTGTATCTTCATGTGAATCAGCTCGAACAATCTAATCGCGGAAGATCGCTTGCCTATCTGCCAGATAAGAATTACACACTGTTACCGTGCAATTTAAGACACATCAGGGACAAGGATCAAAGGATCCGGCTCCAGCGAGGACAATCATTAATACGATACAAGATTTATTCTGAAGATTTGCAGAGACACTCCTCTCTCCTCTTTCAACAGATCCAAGCGATCGAGAAAGGAGATTCGTCCGAAAGCTGAGGGAGAACTTTTTTGAAGTTTTTAATAACTCGGGGAAAACTCGCTTGGGCTCGCGTTTCGCTCGTTTCACGTTAGTATTACAGTAGGATCGAACGTACTCGGTGATTCCGTGTCCGGCTATGTAGAGCGCGTAACTGGCGTGACAAACGGAATTATTATGCGAGGACGAACACCTCGCCGGGATGCACCACGACTGCCGGAACTAATTGAGTGTACGAGCTGAGACAGTTTTTCGAGTACCGAGCGGGCATTATTCCGTCTCGGATCGCGAGAACGGGGCCCCGTGAAATTGCATTTTTCGCGGAATCGTCGCAGCTGCTCGGAAGGAAGTCCCTTTGTAATTCCTCTTCACGTACATCTCCTCCCGTTGCTCTCGTTTACTTTACGAGCAAAACGGGAAACGCGAACGCTTCTGTCGAGTAGACTGAAATATTCCAAAGCAGGTTGTATAACAAAGCACAACAGTTGTAATGATACGGTTAAATTGGAAATTTGTGGCGGCGCAAAGATTGGTGGAAAATTTCAGCTTGAAATTGAAGATAAAATTTATTCGCAATCGTTGAGAAGCGAAAGCAAATTGTCTTCCCCACGTTCTTTTCTCCTCGTCCCTTTAACTTTCCGGCAAGTTAAAAAATTCGCCAAAGAAAAAAGAAAGGAAAAAGAAAAAGAGAGAGAGAGAGAGAGA